ATATAGTCAAACACTGCTGCAGTTAAATATTTTACCCTTTGTTCTCCCTGCATGATCTACAATAATAATCTGCTTTGTGTTGATATTTACTGCTGTGTTGCTGACAGTTACCTGAAAGAGAAGTTGGGGTGCTTCACTGGGCTGGAAAAAGTTTAGCTAAATCAGAAAGCAGGTCTAATTAAGCAAGTTTATTCTCGATATATAAAAGACTAAGTTGACTCACGCATGCATGATACATACAAAGCTCTCGCTTGTGCCAATCATTTGGGTGTTTTGATCTGTCAGTGTTGATCTTGAATTTGGTTGACAATTCTATTATAGAGAAATAGCAGTCTTAAAATATTTCTTCTAATTAATTTCCTTTCAATGTGCACAAATTCATGCACTGGGCCACTAGTTTGGATATAAAATCAGCATGACTGACAAAGTAGGGGGTATAAGAAAAGTCTAGGAGGTCTCAGGCATTTGATTTGTGCTTTCCTGCTGCTGATGCCCTGCCCTGCCCTGATGGGAGGGGGTACAGGAGAGGTGTGGTGTGAAGTGCTGAGTTTGAGGTGTGTGGAGATGGCTTTTATTCTTCTGTGTACTCAAAGGTGGATCTTATCAGAGCCCCTGGATTGGAACAGATTTAGGAGACAGCAGCATGCAGATGAGAGCTAACAGCCTGTGGCCAGTGTCGTTAGTGGTCCGCGAGAGTTTTGTAGAGCAGAATGGAGTTTTTGGGCCACTTGATTTTTTAAATTATATAAGTACGACATTTTTATGGAACATTCAAACAATTTATAAGTTTTACAGAGCAAAAGGTATCCTTTATATCCCAGTGTCACGATTTCCTAGAAGTATCTATAATTGACAGTTGGGTGGAGCTTCTAGGCATTTACATTAATATATCAGGATAGGAGAGGGAGTCCCAGGTACAGAGGAGGAGCAGACATAGAGGTAGAATGCAAACCATAGTGAATGGTGCCACAGATTACCAAGGGGGTTACAGAGGAAGGAGTGTCACTGCATCAGAGCTGAAGTGGCAGTTGATTGGCCTCCTCTGTCTTCTGTAACCTTAGAGCCCTTTGGTGTTATAAGGAGTGGGTGGGAGCTGAAGTGGACCTGGAAGATATAAGCACATTTGAAAAGACTTGGCTCTGAAGGGAAGGACAGTGTAAGATTGAGAGAAGGTCTTACAAAGTCAAAAGAAAATGGAGAGTGCCACTTGGAAATGGCCATATTTTGAAAGAATGTCAGGAAAGAAGGAGGGATTAATTTATTGAGCAGAATATTTGAGGACGCAGAAATGGATGAGATTCAGGGCCCATTGTGACGGTGATAATGCTTTTTCTAGAAAACAAATTAGAAACTGAAAACTTGAAGCACTGTAGAACATGCAGAATATTCTTTTCAGAGAGTGGTAAATGCCTGTTTGTGCAGAATGTAATGCTGTTTCTTCTACAAAAAATTAAGAGCAAGGCTCTCTTTCTGCTCTCTGAGGACCAAAATCAGATACACTGTGTTCACCAGTGATATGCCAGTAAATGTTTAATGACTGGCTTTCAAAAACAAAGGCACTAATTTGTAGCCTTTGCCATTTTTTAAAAACTGATTGTTAGGGAGGAAGGAAGAGAAACATCTATGTGAGAGTAGAACATCAATCAGCTGCCTCGTGCATGTTTCCCAATGGGCATCGAGCCTGCACGCTGGCAAGTGCCATGACCTGAAATCAACCAGCAACCCTTTGATCCACAGGACGATGCCCAACCAACTGAACCACGCAGGCCAGGTTGCATTTGCCATTTCTGTATTGTAACCTGGCAGCAGAGTTCAAGAGCTCAGACAGCGTCAGCCCTCTTTATAGT